AATGAGTCAATCATATGAGCTGGGCTCAGTGAGGGGAAGTTTTTGTCTTTTAAAAAGGCTCCTCTGCCCTAGCTAGTGGCTTGGTTGGCTGGAGTGTTGTCCCATACACCAAAAGACTTAGACTTCGGGTTTGATTCCCAGTTGAGTACCTCTTCCCCTATCCCCTTCCTCATCTCTCTTCTTCTCCCTTGTTCTCTCTTTTTCTCTCTAAAATCAATAAAAATATGTCCTTGGGTGAGGATTAAAAAAAAAATGGCTCCACTTCTAATTATGAAAGTGACCCTGATGTATCCCCTCCAAATTTAGGAAATGACAAAAGCAAAAAGAAGAAAGTGAACATCACTTTATTCACCATCTAAAGATAGTCATTCTTATTTATGGTATATATTCTAGCTCTTCATACAAACACATCTGTTCACCCATATATACATATATATATATTTTTTAAAGAGTTTTGAAACTTGTGAATACAATGCAATGCCTTTGGTTCTCATCATAGCATCTGAGATAGGTTTTATTGATTTTAGAGAGGGAAGGAGGAAGGGAGAAAGGGAGGAAAGGAGAGAAAGAGAGAGAGAGAGAGAGAGAGAGAGAGAGAGAGAGAGAGAGAGAGAGAGAGAGAGATTGATGTGAGAGAGAAACATCAGGAACCTTTTGGTGTATGAGACAACACTCCAACCAACTGAACCACCTGGCCAGGCCAGCCTCTCTGTTTCTGAGTTCTCATGTGATTAGATTGGCTTCAGATAATTCAAAATAACCCAAATAATCTAGAGTAGTGTTCTTATTTCCAAGGTGCTTAATTTAATCAAATCTGCAAGGTCTCCTTGCCATGTAAGGTAATCTATTTACCAGAAATACTTATGTAGAAAAGCTTCCTGATTGCAATCTGGCTCCCCTTCAGCATCTGGAAAGTTCTTTAACTCTCAGCAATTTAGTAGTCACAGGAGTCTGCATAAAGAAGGGGCTAAGTTTAGCTCCTCACTTCATTAGCCTCAAGATAAATTCACATCTGTTCATGAATTAAACCCCTTGGACCCTTTGTTAAGAATGCCTATTTTGCCCCATCATTTGTGATGGCTTCCTAGTGATCTACTAGTATTATGAATGTACAATAATGTGTTTAGCCATGTGCCTTCTATTGAATACTGCTCAGGATAAAAACCCTTCTAGGTAAATCTCTGCCTATTTTCCTGGTTCTTTCTTTAGGATAAATTCCTGTAAGAGGATCAAAGGGTATTCCAAATGTTACAATTTTAGATTTGGCAGGAATATTTAAGTCCTATTTCACAAATACAGAAAGCGAGGGCGGAATGGTTTACAGATATGGCTTTTTAAAAAAAATTTTTTTAAGAAAGAGAGAAGGCTCCCCCCCCCCCTTTAAAAAAATATATTTTATTGATTTTTTACAGAGAGGAAGGGAGAGAGATGGAGAGCTAGAAACGTCAATGAGAGAGAAACATCGACCAGCTGCCTCTTGCACACCCCCTACCGGGGATGTGCCCGCAACCAATGTACATGCCCTTGACCAGAATCCAACCTGGTACCTTTCAGTCCGCAGACCGACGCTCTACCACTGAGCCAAACCAGCTTCGGCCAGATACGGCTGTTGTTGGCCCCGGTTGTTGGCCCTGAATCGTGTTATCATTCACAGTCTACCACCTGGCTGCTGGAAACCATTTGTCACTGTAAAAGCTTTTGCTTCCAGAATGACTCCATTGTATCAATATGAAACGCTGGGGCTGCTTCCCTCCATCCCCCAGCCTTGCCACATTCATCGAGGTCCAGCTCACATTGTTCTTGCTGCACTTGTGCTGCATGGTCTATTTGTCATAGCCTTTTAGTTTGACACAGGACAGCTGTTAGGTATTTTGTGTTTAACTCCTCAGAAGATATCAGGAGTAGTACGTCTAGCACAGGAGGAGGGGCGGAATAAATTGATGATTGTTGAATGGTATTGAATAGTTACAACAATCCTGCAACTCTGGAGGACTGGCTATGTTTCAGAAAGTTCGTGATCAAGCTTGTGCTCCTAACATTTATGGTTCCAGATGGAAATGGCTGTAGACTTTTGAGAGGTCTATGGCTGTTCTAAACCTGACAGCTATAGAGTTTTGTTATAAAGTTTGTTGGATTTTATATGGAAGTTAGGAAATCAGCAAGAAAAGAAATAGCTGGCTGGCCTCCAATGCTCACCTTTCTCTTCCCTGACAAGTGAGTCCTAAGTTAAACTAATGCAATGTTTATTGAATGCCTACAAGGCTGAACTTCTATGAGGAATCCTAGTTAAGTGAATAACATTATAAGGTTAGACTCTGATCTACATCACACAATTATTTATGTTTAGTTTTATATATCATAATAAGGTGTGTTGAGGAAGCTGTTTAAAATAGTGGAAAAGAGTGACTGACCGGCAGGGATAGGCTCTGCCTTTTACCTACCCTGTTTCCCCGAAAATAAGATAGTGTCTTATATTAATTTTTGCTCCCAAAGATGTGCTAGGTCTTATTTTCAGGGGATGTCTTATTTTTCCATGAAGAAGAATACCGTACACATTTATTGTTAAATGAAAATAAAGGAAATTTATTATCTGTATACAGTACGGTAGTTGTCAACACAAACCAGACAAACTGTGAATCCTACAATATCAAGAATTTACTCACTTATTCAATGACAATCATGTCATCATCATCTGGAACATCATCATAACAATCCAATTCCTGAATTTCCTGGTGAATTTCTTGTGACTCCATTTCTTTCAGAATCAATGGACCAAATCTCTCATGTTTAGCCTAGGGAGCCTTATTTTCGGGGGGATGCCTTATATTTCACTCAGAAGGAAACCTGTAAGTAGGTCTTATTTTCAGAGGATGTCTTATTTCCGGGGAAACACGGTAGTTGTGTGTGTTAACCAATGGGGCTGTGTTCTGGCCATCAAACCACACTAACCATGCTTTGCTAAAGTGGAATTCAAAATCTATAAACACAAGCATTCACACTTATATTTATATCTTCCCATATTGCCTGTTGATACATTTAGGAAAATGCTGTTCGAAAAAAATTTCATAATACTACATATTTAATTTCTGTAAAATGTTAAATATTTTTAGATAATGCTTTTTGGACTGAGTGGTCTGGGGTGACATTTGTTTTAAAATGATTTAAAATACCATAACCTACTTTTTGGTGCTCAGAGCAGGGGAAACTATGGCATTTGGAAAATGGTAGTCTCTTGTTTATCTCCATAAAGACATCTGCTGAGAGTAGGCTGCAAGAAAGCCGCCTGGTTCACCGTGGATTACTTTTTGTTTTATTTGCTAATCCTCACCTGAGGATATTTTTTCCCATTGATTTTTTTTTTTTAGAGAGTGTGGAGGAAAGAGGAGTGGAAAGAGGAAGAGAGAGATTGATCTGTTGCTTCCCACACTCGACCAGATACCAGCATCAAATCCTACTAGGGATCAAACCTGAGACCCATCTGTGGGAGGACCTGTTTTCTAATTACAGGCTGGGGCCAAGCAACAGGGGCCAGGGCTACTTCTCGAACCTCTTTTATATTGCTCAATTTCATTTAAACAGCAAGATAAGAAAACAAAACAAGGCCTCTCACAGTTCTAAATTTATTTCCCTATCTCAGTGATTTTCAACCTTTTTCATCTTACGGCACACATAAACTAAACTAAACTAAAATTCTGCAGCACATCAAAAGGTATTTTATATATATATATATATATATATTTGCCGATCTGACAAAAATAGGTATAATTTTGATTTATTCACACTGACAGCTGTCGTTGTGTTGGCTGCTGTTTGTTTGTTTGTTTGTTTATTTATTTATTTATTTATTTTGACAATCGTAGGGAAAGAGGTCCGTGGTCCCGACTAGTCAGGTATTGCATGTTTTAAAAATTTTTGCTGCACACGGATTGGAAATCGCTGCCCTAAATGTTTGTAATCATGTTACATTCCTTCCCAGCTACTATAAACAGCTGCCAACGTGACCCATGCTCTTGAAATAAAAAAGTGTATTTATTACAAATATATTACAGTCAAATCAGAAGGAGGGGGTTGTATCCGTATTTAATCTGTCTGGAGCATTACTTTGGCTCAGATAAAAACCCCGTCTTTGCTTTCCGTAGCCCACGTAGCATTGCCATTTTCGTGACTATCTGTAGGCACAACACAAAATAGCAAAAGCATGTCAGCATGCTGCTTTGTTCGCTGCTGCAACAGGCATGCAATTTACTGAGGCTGGGCTGCAAGGTGCGATTTCGCGGTGCTGGGAGGTGGGGGGGGAGGGGGGAGAGGAGAGCCCAGCTGGGGGAACTGCATGTCTTTTAGCTTCAGATCGTGGATTCTCCTTGAGGTCAGGAAAGGGCTAAGCGTCCCGGTGGCCACCCTCAGGGACTGACGTGACCCGGCGTCACGTGGGGGAGAGTTAAGAACCGCTAGTCTAGTGTGACTGAAAGCCTCAGAAGGGAGGGGGTGTGGGGAGATGGATGGCAGCGGGGTGGGCGCCGGATGAACCCCAGGAAAAGGAGGGGGGCTCTGCCAAAACCGGTTAGAGCGTCAGCCTGCGGACTGAAGGGTCCCAGGTTTGATTTCGGTCAAGGGCACATCCCCAGTGGGGGCTGTGCAAGAGGCAGCTGATCCATGATTCTCCCATGGATGTTTCTGGCTCTCTATCCCTCTCTCTCCCTCTCTGTGAAAAATCAATAAAATATATTAAAAAAGAAAAGAAAAGGAGGGGTCTCCCGTTGGAAGCCTGCAGGAGGGTGATTTGTGCAGAGTGGCCTGGCAACCCGTTTGGTTCGGTTGGGCGTCAGCTGCAGGGGCCCGCAGGGCACGCGCGACACCCGCGCCAGCCTCTGGGCCCAGGCCCCCCCCCCCCTCCCCGCCCCCGCTACGCCGGCGCGCGCTCCCCCCGCGCCCATGCGCGCTCCCCATCCCCTGACGCGCGTGCGCCGCCCTCTCCCGGTGCGCGCTCCCCCGCGGGCCGGAGCGTGCGGTGGGCGGGGCGCCGCGCTGACGTTGCCCGGGATGCGGGAAGGTTCCCCCGCTGCCGCTGCCGCCGCCGCCTCTGCCTCGCCTGCCAGCCGGGTGTCTATGAAAACACCCGGTGGCGGGCGGCGAGGGACCCGCCGTGCGTCCAGCGAGCAGCCGCCGGCCCTGCCTGCGCCGAGCCAGCCCGGGGGTGCGGCTCTGCCCCCTCGCTGCCAGCTGCCCCTCCTCAGCCCGCGGTGAGCGCCCCGCCGCCGCCGCCGCCGTCCGCGCGTCCGGCCGGCCGGCCGACCCTCGGTGTGCCCCCCCTGCTCTCCCCGAGCCGCGGCGTCCCCATGGGGGCGGGGGAAGCGGGAGGAGGAGGGCGAGGCCCGGGCCCGCCGCTGTCGGCGCCCGGGGACCCTCACCTGACAGCTTGTGTAACGCGTGTCTGCGGGGAGGTGGCGGGCCGGATCTTGAGGGAAATCTCCCTTGATGGGCTGGATGGAGGTTTGGCTGTTCATGGAAAACGCTCTCTCCCGCTTTCCCACCGAGGAACACCTGATCGACCTCCCTCCCCCATCCCCGCGGAGTAGAGGGGACCCCCCCTTCACCCCCTGCCCTGCCCTTTTCTCCACTCGCCCCGGCGCTGGGCAGAGCCCAGAGGGGTGGTGGGCGGGAGGCCGGGGTGGGGGTGGGGGTGGCGGGTGAGGGTGCGCGACCTGCTTCTCCATCCGCTCCGGTACCCACCCAGCCCTCTGCTCCTCCGTGTGCAGAGCTGCGGGGTGGGTGTGGTGTGACACCTGCGCTGGCTGGCTTTGCTTCCTCGCAAAAGGGCATTTTGGCCTGAAGTGTGTGTGCGCTCTGTTTACAACGTGTGGCCCTGGGTGGGTTTGATTTGAACCTGAATCAGATCGCCCCAGATGACAGTGCAGAGTTTCCCCACAGCCTGCCTGCCTTCCTTCCTTCCTGAGTTGCGGGTTCTTAATTGCAAGTATTCAATTCAAGGACTTCTGCAATCCCTTACGCAAGGCTTGCTTGTTTCCCCCTTCCCCGTGTGTCCTTTAAGCCTATTAGTGCCAGTGTAGCTTTGAATGCCTTGGTTTCCTTTCCTGGGCATTGCCCCGGATAGAATGGAGTTTTAATAGGTATTAGTGTGCTCCATGTGAATGTTGGTAACTGCAAGCCCATTTATTTTCTTTTTTTCCTTTTAAGATAGCTTGCTCGAGTGTCTGAAGGTCTGGCACTGCTGATGACCTATTACGTTTTTAACACGTTGGCATTTTCTTTGGCGATTTTAATTCTGGGTGGATTTTTTTTTTTTTCCTTTAGGTATTCCGAATTGCAGCACTGTTTGCACTGCATGGCAATTTGTAGTTGATAGGACTTGAGCAGTTTCTTGATCACTCATGTTAACTTCTCTTTTGTGCCCGTATTGTAATCTCTGTGTAAATTGAGTTATCAACCCTCTTTAACTTTTGCGTTCTTCTTCCTAAATTGTCTTTTTTCCCTTGGAAAACCAGAAAGTTATTTTTGTAATTGTGTCGTGGAATGTTTTCAGTCCAGTAGACCAAAAAAAGTAGTCGTTTATTTAAGGAGCTTTAAATGGTACATATTTTAAAACCATGTGCCAAAAGTTAAAACTCGGAAGATCTGTAAGGATGTCCTGTGTAATGCCGTGAGATAGTTATCATTTTCTTATCCACTCCTTATTTCTCATCCTTAAGCAAAGTTGTGATGTGACTTGTTAGTTTTCCACTCCACCTTTCCTAAGTTCTACAATGAAGTTTAAAGTTCATATATAATGGCTTTAGAACTCAGCCTTGAATTGCGTGGACACATAATTAGAACTGCAGTCTCACTCTGAACCCTGAAATGACCAGGGGGGTAGTCTGAGAGTTACCCTTGTAATGAGTCAATTTTGCAAAGCATTTAAATGTATTAATTAGTTTAAGCTTTTGAAGAAGAAATTTTTATTGCCTTGAATCAAGGATTATTCTCTTTAGAATAGTCTTACTGGAATCCTGTGTAATGGTTTCATCTCCAATACCAGAGGGAAAAGAGGTCTAGATTATAGTGTACAGTATTCTATTTTACAGTATTGTATTATATTCCTCAGTATTCACCATCCAAAACCTGCTCTTCTTGCTTGAAGTCCCTCAGAGCTTGGAAGTTGAACATTAGTTGTAAAAAATGAGCCGGTTAGTGGGTTCTCTGCAAGTTGGGAGCTTCCTGTAGAGTGTAGACAATTGGTGGAGTGGACACGGACTTTTACACTTGATATATTTCTGTTAGTTACATTGCTTTATCCTATAGTGTGTGACTAAGGGGTTGGGCCTCAGAGCCAGACTGGCTGGTTTTAAATCCTGGCTTTGCTTTAGAAGCAAGTTATTTATCCTCTTTGTGTTTCAATTTTCTCAGCTTTAAAAATGGGATAATAGTGGTTACACCCTTAAGATGATACTAAACATTAAAAGAGCTAATACACCTGAAGTGCTTAGCCTGACACATAGTAAGTGCTCAGGAAATACTATTGCTGCTGCTGCTTTTCTTCAGCCTTTCCAAGGAACTGGTGAGCTGAAGAAGGACTGTGGGCTGATGGGACATTATTAGTGCGGATTAATTCCACTAAGACCCATTCACTTTTTGGGGGCTCAGTGAGAGCTTATTCTCACTGTCCTGCCTTGGAAGCATGTAATTTAGTTTTAAATAAAGCAGCTGGACCCTGAGCAGGTGTCTTGAGATGCTGCTAGAGAGCTGCTCAGGTATCCCTATTTGTCCTTGTGACAGAACCTTGGATTGTCTCCCTCGTGGTGGTGGCGGCTGCTATTTTAATCACCTGTTTTTGAGTATATGATTGTGTGTATTTGACTGTCATGTAATTAGCAAACTCTGCAAAGCATTTAAATGTATTAATGTAGGTTAAGCTTGTCATGTGCTATTGTGAAAAATATTATCTATCAAACTATGTTTGATCAATATATTGCATGGTATTTCCAACATAATACAAAATCACTTTCCTCTAAACATTATTTATTTTTTGTTTTGCTATTAATATTACATAGAGTGAAGTTAGTTTTGATTTGGTATAGTGTTTTTTTTCAGCTTTCATGTAATATTCTTAGGGAAGTTTAAAAAATATTTTTTATTGATTTCAGAGAGGAAGGGAGATAGATAGAAATTTCAATGATGAGAGAGAATCATTGATTGGCTGCCTCCGGCACACCCCACACTGGGCATCGAGTCTGAAACCTGGTCTTGTGTCCTAACTAGGAATAGAACTGTGATCTCCTGGTTCATAGGTCAAAGCTCAAACACTAAAAAGTTATTTTTTAAAAAAATTAATGATTTTATGTATTCTCGATTTGCAGGGATCTGATAGAACATTGGATTGTAATACAGTGTTTTTAAATCAGTTTTAAAACTCTTAGTCTCAGGACCCTATTACACTCTTAAAAAATTATTGAGCACCCTAAAGAGCTTCTGAGTCTTCTCTCTTTTCTTAGTTAATGGGCTAAAGAGTTATCAAGGGTTATATAATAACAAGGGTTATCTTGTTAATGTTTTCAGCGAACCAATTTTTGGTTTCATCGCTTTTTCCTATTCTCGATTTTACTTATCTCTGGCATAATTAAAAAAAATGTTCTTTCTTCTACTGGCTTTGGTTTTAGTTCTCTTTTTTCTAGTTCCTTAAGTTGTAAAGTTAGGTTGTTTATTTGAGAGCTTCCTTCTTTTTAAATTTGCTTATAGCTATACATTTCCTGATGAGCACTCCTTTCCTGCATTGTGTAAATTTTGGTATGTTGTGGTTTTGTTTTCATCTGTCTCTTAAGTATTTCTAATTTCCCTTGTGATTTCTACTTTGCCCATTGGTTGTTTAAGAAAATGTTATTTAATTTTCACAAATGTGTGAATTGTCCAACTTTCCTTCTCTACTGCTTTCTAAATTTATCCTATTGTGGTTGAAGAGATACTTTGTATATCTTACTATGTATGTCTATTTAAAAAAAAATCTATTGAGACTTAATCTGTGGCCTGACCTATAATGTGTCCTAGACTGTCCCATGTGCACTTGAGAAGAATGTGCGTACTATTGTTAAGTAGGCTGCTTGTTCCCTGTATGTCTGTTTGGTTTATTGTGTTGTTTAAGTCCTCTGTTTCTCATCTTCTTTCTGGTTGTTCCATCCATTATTGAGAGTAGGGTACTGAAGCATCCAAGTAGTATTGTACAATAGAATTGTCTGTTTTTCCCTTTAATTCTGTCAGTTTTTGCTTCATGTATTTTGATGGTCTGTTATTAGGTGCATGCCATTTATACTTGTTAAATTTTATTGCTCTCTTGAACCTTTTATTAACATATCCTTTGTCTCTTAAAACTTTTTTTTTTGATTTTTGGATCTAAAGTCTGTTTTGTCTGATAGTATAGCGACCTCTGTTTTCTTTTGATTACTGTTTGCATGGAATATATTTTTCCATTCCTTCACTTTCAAAAGTGAATGTCTAAAGTGAGTGTTGCATCATGGCTTTAAAATTTTTTTATCCATTTTGTTAATCTCTGCCTTTAGATTGGAGAGTTTAATTTATTTACATTTAAGATATTACTGACAAGGAGGAACTTCTGTCATTTTTCTATTTTTTTTTTTTTAATATGCCTTCTAGCTTTCTGTGTCCCTCATATCTTGTGTATTTTGATTCTTATTGGGGATATTAGTGGGACCTGACTTTGGCTAAGGTACTTTCCTTAAAACAAAACTTAAGTCAATTTAATGGGTCAGAGTTATGTTAGAGGCAATGGATATGTTTGTTTCAAGGTAAATTTTTAAATCTCACCTATCACCTATATAGATGTAGGAATTTTGGAATATGTTTAAGCTTAAAATTAGTCATCTGGAATCTGAATTGCTAGAAGAGTAATTTTAAATAAACTAAATTGAAGTGTAGTGGGATTCTACTTCCCCAACAATAAGACCCTATAACTTTTAGTATAATTAATGAATCATATAGCAGAACAAATGAGACCTTTATAAGTGCCAGAATGTCTTTTGTGGAGAAATATGTGAAACATCCAAACTTGTGTTCTTAATGAGGATGCATGATGAGGAAAGGTAAAAAGTATAATCTTTTTATAGGTTTATTCTTACCCACTTTTTTTTTTTTATCAAGTTAATGACAGTAATATATGTGAAATAAATTTTCTTGTTTACAGTTGGGCTAACACATTTATAAACTAATAATTGGATATCATATGAGTCACGTAACTAGGTGAAAAAAATGTCTACTTTAACATAGTAATTTAGAATAGGTAATATACAAAGATCATGCTCACGGTAAGTGTTTCTCTCTTAATTAAAATGGTATTGTCTATCTGCCTATTGCTGGGACGATTACTCTTCCTTTCTTAATAACAAAACAGATATTTTTGACCTCCTTCCCTCAGAGTTTCTCACTTTTTTCTTTATGATGCTGCCACGGGTATGATGGGCATAGTCTTTGGGTTGTTGTTTATTAAACACTGAGGGTTGCAGTTTTTCTCACATTGATGTAATTGGCGTGGGGGAATAATAGTTAGCTCCCTTATGTTCTCAAGAGTGATTTATTCATTTCAGATGGTTAAGCAATCAGAGAAAGTCAACAAAAGATGACTTGTGTTCAGTGTAGCTGTTTGCCCATCTGCCCTGTGGCGGAACCAGCTACCCAGATATTCTTTAACTGGTCTTCTCCTGGTTGCCCGCTCCCACTCCAACAGGAACAATATGGTGTTTAGTAGCGAAGGTTTTCATTGTTAACTAGAGACATGTTTCTTAAATGTTTTTAAACAGTGGAAGTTTTTTTGTCTAACGGTATCTTGAAGGAAGACCTGTCTGTAAACAGATGAGAGTAAAATAGTGATGTCGTTCTGGTTGAATGGGAACTGGACCAAGTTGTTTAGTCAGGGCCAGTCAGAAGGGAATCATGTTTCCTCAGACTGAATTTACAAGATTTAGATGGGACATTGGAGTGTGAACAGTGTTTCTTTTCACTTTTTTAAAAAGCAGTTTAAACTTGAAATAAAAACCATGCATATTTGAAGTATTTATATATCTAGAATATACAACTTTAGGTTTGGGCTGGGTGTCAGAATTTCTTCTATGGATTGTTTGTGGAATGAAAATTAGGACAGCTTGTATGTATGACATTCTGATGCCTGGTGTGTGTGCATGCTTATTGACTTAGCTCATGGGCTTGATTTCAGGCTTAAGCTAGTGAGAATTGAAGTTTTCAGTTTTTAGATTCCCTGGGCTCTGGAACTAATTCTAGTTGAGGAAAAATCTCAAAAATTCAGATCTAAAATTTGGTACTTTTCTTGAGCTAGTAGATGCAATTGCTTGCTTTTCTTTATGCATAGGCTAGCTTGAGGGAGTTGATTTTGCTGTATGATTTTCTCCTAAAGTCAAATTCCCATATATAATCTGAGTATAGGTCATCGTTAAATATATAAGAGCACTCACACAGACCCCTCCTCCAATTTAGAATAATGTTTGCTGTGGATTTTTAGGTGACAGCATAGATTTTTAATGTAGCTTTTTTTTTTTGAAGTGGACGTATCAAGATTTTATTGTCTTATAGTAAAACAAAATATTAAGCTGGATCCCTTGACCCTTTCTCTTCTTATCTCCTCCCAGTTAAAAATGCTTGCATCTCTTAATAGCCAGCATTCTCTTAGGTCTGCAGTTGGGATCAATGCATTCAAACCTCAGCAAAATCTTCTTTGTAGTTTTAGCTTTTCCTCCCCAGAAAATCGGCTTAGTCTGTCCTCCATAAGCCACTCTGCTTCCTGTCACAACGCAGCTTTCCCTGCCCATACAGGGAATCCTTGCCCTTCCTTCTCCTACGGGGTTACTTTTTGGGGTTGATGCTTGCCACACTTCTTACAGACGCTCAGCAGGTTTTAGGAACATCCAGCAGGTTTTAGGAACGTTCACCATGTTTGCGAGAGCGCTATCAGCAGGGAAAGGCAGCTCATTATTATTATTAAAAAAAAAAAAACTTTCGTTGGATAATTAACTCAGAATACATCTCCCAAGACCCAGGTGGGTTGTTTTGCTTTTGTGCAAGTTGGGAGTAGGCATTGAGGTACAGAGGACATAAGTCTCTAATCCTAATTTATAAATCATTGAATTAGGAAAGTTCCTGTGGAGACTAAGCTCGTTTTCCCTTTTAAAGAGCCTTGTTGAGATATAACTCACCATACAATTTTCTCATTTAAAGTATGCAGTTTAGTGGCTTTTAGTATATTTACAGAGTTGTGAAACATTATCACAATCAGTTTTAGAACATTTTTATTACCTCAAAAAGAAACTCTATACCCCTTTACTCTCTCCTCCCACCCTAATCCCTATCTCCCCTAGTCCCAGGTAACCATTTATCTTGTCTATAGGTTTACTTATTTCTGGGTATTTTATATACTTGAATCATATAATGATGTGGTCTTTTGTGGCTGGCTTTGCCCATTTAACGTAATATTTTCAAGTTTCATCTAGGTAGCAAATATTAGTATGTTGTTTCCTTTGATTACTGAATAATATTCCATTGTGTGGATATATCACATTTTATTTATCCATTTATCCATTGATGGGCATTTGGGTTTCCACTTTTTGGTTGCTATGAATAATACTGCTGTGAACATTTGTGTATAAGTCTTTGTGTGGATATAGATTTTCACTTTTTTGGGTTATACCTAGAAATGGACTATCTGAGTCATTTGGATACTTTATGTTTAGCCTTTTAAGGCACTGCTAGACTACTTCCATTGTAGCTGTCCTTTTACATCCCCTTCAGCAATGTATGGGGTTTCCAGTTTCTTCACATTCTTGCTAATATTTATTATTATCTTAATTGTTTATTATTGATTTTGCTGTATGATTTTGAGCTAAGTCAATAAGCATGCACACACACCAGTCACTTTAGTGGGTGTGAAGTGTTATCTTATTGTAGAATAAATTTTCTTTTCTTTTTTATTTTATTTTATTTTTAAATAAATTTTTATTGTTCATATTATTACAAATGTTCCTTTCCCCCCCCTTCTCACCCCACCCTCTGCCCTTTCCCCACCCCCCATTGTCCTCATCCATAGGTGCACAGTTTATGTTCAGTCTCTTCCCACATCCCCCTCTCCCCTTTTCCCCAAGAATAAACAGTTCACTCCCCTTCCATATCTCTGATTCTATTATATTCAACAGTTAATATTGTTCCTCAGATTTTTTTTTTTTTTTTAGTTCCCTTGGTTTTTAGATTCACTTGTTGATAGTTACGTATTTGTTGTTCATAATTTTTATCTTTATTTTGTAGAATAAATTTTAAATAGTAGTTAGGCATAGCAGGGATGATAATAGTCTAAGGTGGAATTCATATTACAATTAAAGTATTTAATAGACTAACTAGGACTATAGTAGCCATCTTAATCCTGGCTATGTGTGATTAGTATCACTTCTAATTTTATTTTATTTTATTTACTTATTTTTTGTTAATCTTCACCCGAGGGTATTTTTTTCATTGATTTTTAGAGAGAGTGAAGGTGGGGGGGGGGTTAAGAGACAGAGAGAGAAACATTGATGTGAGAGAGACTCATTAATTGGCTTCCTCCCTCATGCTTCCTGACCAGGACCCAGGATAGAGCCTGCAACCAAGTTACATGCTCTCGACTGGAATTGAACTTGTGACCCTTCAGTTGACCAGTTGCCGCGCTAACCATCAAGCCAGACCAGGTAGGGTTCACTTCCTAATTAAAAAAAAAAAAAAAAAAAAAAAGAGATTAATCAAATCTCTGAGGATATTGTATGATTCCTCACTCCTTAAAAATTTCTTTATTGAAAAAGAAAAGTGAAGATTCAGTTGTAAGGAACAGAATTATTCTAGATTCCTTAAGCAGAAAGTGTTTATTTACCATAAGAACCAAAGAGCTTAAAGAATTGTTGGGATGTATCAGTTTGGTCCTTTCAAGAGATAGAAACCACACTGTAACTTAACAGGAAAAGATTTGTTTAAAGAACTAAAGGCCTGGTGCACAGATTTGTGCATCTGTGGGGTCCCTCGGCCTGGCTTGAGGCTCTCTGACATCCCTAGAGGGGTCCTGGATTGCAAGAGGGCATAGGCCAGGCTGAGGGATTCCCACCAGTGCACGATGGGGCCTGGGGAGGGAATGCAGGAAGGTTCCACGGCGTGTCTGGCCCCTCTCGCCCAGTCCTGATCGGCTGGACCCCAGCAACAAGCTAATCTACTGGTTAGAGTGTCTGTCCTCTGGTGGTCAGTGTGTGTCATAGCTACTGGTCAACCGGTCACTTGGGCTTATATACCGTGTTTCCCAAAAATAAGACATCTTCTGAAAATAAGACCTACTTACAGGTTTCCTTCTGAGTGAAATATAAGGCATCTCCCTGAAAATAAGGTCCCCCCGAGGCTAAACATGAGAGATTTGGTCCACTGATTCTGAAAGAAATGGAGTCACAAGAAATTCACCAGGAAATTCAGGAATTGGATTGTTATGATGATGTTCCAGAAGATGATGACATGATTGTCATTGAATAAATGAGTCAATTCTTGATACTGTAGGATTCACAGTTTGTCTGGTTTGTGTTGACAACTACTATACTATCGTACCATATACAGATGATACATTTCCTTTATTTTCATTTAACAATAAATGTGTATGGTATTCTTCTTCATGGAAAAATAAGACATCCCCTGAAAATAAGACCTAGCGCATCTTTGGGAGCAAAAATTAATATAAGACACTATCTTATTTTCGGGGAAACAAGGTATATATATATATAGACTGGAGGCCTGGTGCATGAAATTTGTGCATGGATAGGGTCCCTAGGTCTGGCCAGCAATCAGGGCCAGCAGGGGCCTTCCTTCCCCCATTGCCAGCAGCCAGCTGGGGCCTTCCTTTGTTCTGTGTTGTCCCCTGCTGGTCAGTACACATCATAGTGAGCAGTTGAACTCCTAGTCAGTCAAACTCCTGAGGGGACAATTTGCATATTAGCCTTTTATTATATAGGATTATTGACTAGCCTGGCCAGCATGGCTCAGTGGTTGAGCATCAACCTATAAACCAAGGAGATCATGACTCCTGGTCAAGGCACATGCTCGGTTTGCAAGCTCAAACCCCACTGGGGCTCGTGCAGGAATCAATGATTCCCTCTCCTCATTGATGTTTCTTTCTCTCCCTCTCTGAAATCAAGAAAAATACATATATAAAAAAAGAATTATTAACTACTGGGATTGGAGCAATGAGGGGTTTACCAGTAAGAAGTAAAGATAGCTCTAAGCAAAATAGGAAAAACTGATATAAATAGTTACTGAGATAGAGTGAAGCTGAGGTAGTGGATTCCCCTCTCCATCTGGGGTCTAGACCTTGTTGGAAAAGGCAAGGTCAAGGCAAGTAGCTGTGGGTGGTGAATTTGCTGGCTATCAACCCTCTAGGGCGCCAGGGAAAGCTGTTCACGGGGAGATGTCTGTCCGGTCTCTGTGCTACCTCCTGTTGGGGTCGCCCGGTGTGCTGCAGGAGCCTGCTGCTGGGAAAGCCATCCTTGTTGCAGGAGTGGGTCCTGCAGAAGGCTTGTCTGCTGCAGCCTAGTGAGCAAATGAGCCAGAGCAAAATTCTCTCCTCTGCAGTGTCTTTCCAGCGTCCTCTTTTGACAAAGCTTAATATCTTGCCAGCTGGCACAGAAATAAATATTTTGAGGGCATACATTCATTTTCACAGAACAGGCACACGGTGAATTTGGAGATGAGGGGCAATAAATTAATGTCTGGCACAGGTATCATGTGCTTTACAGAACTGTTTGGAGATCTAAAGGAAGAGACTCTAGGTTGAGCTTGAAGCAACAACTCCCAAAACCTCTGCAGAGAACTGAGAAACCAAGGGGTGTGTGTGTGTAATTGTTTCTTTCTTTCTTTCTTTCTTTTTTTTTTTAATTGATTTTTTACAGAGAGGAAGGGAGAGAGATAGAGAGCTAGAAACATCGATGAGAGAGACATCGACCAGCTGCCTTTTGCACACCCCCTACCGGGGATGTGCCCGCAACCAATGTACATGCCCTTGACCGGAATCGAACCTGGACCTTTCAGTCCGCAGACCGACGCTCTACCACTGAGCCAAACCGGTTTCGGCTGTAATTGTTTCTTTTATGATTAAAAGGCCTCCTGTGTAATTGTGAAATTGCTCCTAGATCTTCATTGCTAGAACCACTCTCTTGTTTTAAAATTAGGAAACTGTTGTCGTTGGTCAGGGGGCTGTGTGATCAGGAATCCTTTGCTGTGCTTACTAGCTATAGAACTAAACTGGACCAGGACCAACCTTTTCTGGTCTGCACCAACCCTGCCTACAGAGACTCGACTAGCTTTTCTCAATCTTTATGCACCAGAGGATCCGTGAAATAGTTTTTAGGTCTCAGGGAACTCCTCCATAAAAGGTATAACATCGATAAACTTCCTGATATTAGTATAAATGGAAAGTTTAGATATAATAATTGTTACTACCACCTATAATCCTTTGGTGAAGTATGGATCTTCTGTCCTAAATAGTTTGAAATCTATACTACCAGACACTGGTGAGATGAGATTGTCAGCAATTTTCTGGGAGAGGAAGATACTGCACATGGCATGGGAATAGAGTGAACCAGCCACAGGGTCTGTGGGGGACAGGCTTTGTAGTAACAAAAGGTCACAATAACCTTCCCATCCCTTCACTGTGGGAGTTGTGATTAGTTTGTTTGAATAATTCTGAGAGCTGGCAGGGGACTGAAACTAGTTAGATTTTGGATTCAATCAAGTACAACTGGTTTGGCTGATGGTGGAACTGGCTGGGCGAGGAGTCTTTCCCATTGGATGGGGCACTTGTGGCAAGAGTGGGAGAAGTCTCATTAGGCCTTTGGGGCCCTGGGAAGCTCAGGATTGTAGGACAGTACTGGAAAATAATTAGATCTTTTAACACAGTACTCCAGTAATGACTGCTAATGCTTTATTGACAGAGGATGACATATTTTCTGTGCACCTAATTCTTGTGGCCATCTTACTAGTCTATTCTTTTGTGTGGCTCTCCATCGCACAAAAGATGTAAACTCTGATGTGTTAGTAATGCAGATAGAAAAAATAGGTTTTCCTTTTCTTAAATTTCCCACTTTATTTTTTATTTTATTCAAGTAGGCCTAGGAGTCTTACCACAAATTTTTACTATACAAGATACTGATAAAATATGGCCTGTGTATATGGTATGTACAAGAGTATTTTTATTTATATTTATTTAAAGTGAACAAAAATAACTTTAACCAACCTTATTTGAAAAACAAATAATTAACTTAGTTTACCATTCTGGAAACTAAGCTCATTATCATGATTTTTTTAAAAAAGCATTGGACTCTTTAATTAAAAAAAAAAAAAAAAAAAAAAAAAAAAAAAATATATATATATATATATATATATATATATATATATATATATATATATATATATATATTTTAGAGAGGAAAGGAGAGGGAGATAGAAACATCAATGATGAGAGAGAATCATTGATTGGCTATCTCCTTCATGCCCCCTACTGGGGATTTAGCTCTCTACCTGGGCATGTGCCCTGACCTGGAATTGAACTGTGACCTCCTGCTTGATAGGTTGAAGCTAAACCATTGAGCCACACCAGTTGGAACATTTTTATTTTTATTGATTTCAGAGAGAAAGGGAGAGAGAGAGAAAGAGAAAGAGAGAGAGAGAGAGAGATCTCAGTGATGAGAAAGAATCATTGATTGGCTGCCTAATGCAAGCCCCCAACTGGGGATCAAGCCTGCAACCTGGGCATGTGCCCTTGACGGGAATCGAACTTGGGACCCTTTAGTCTGCAGTCAGACTCTCTATCCACTGAGCCAAACTAGCTAGGGCTTCATGATTTTTAAAGACTCATATGGTAGAGGTATTAAGTTACTGTTAAATAAATGGCTTTAAAAAAATAGGCCCGATAGACTTAATTTAAATAAATATTTCAAGGTTTTTTTTTTTTTTGTAATTTTTTATTGTATTAAAATATATTTGGCCACAATAAAACCACTTAAATCATTTTAAGGTTATAATCCAGTGGCATTAATTACATTCACAATGTTGTCTAACCATAATCAATATTTCCAAAATTTTTCATTACCTCAGGCAGACATTCTATAATTTCCATTAAACAATAAATACCTATTCCCCTTTACCTCCAGCCCTTTAATCTACTTTATAGGCTATGCATTTGCCTATTCTAGATTTTTTCATATAAATGGAAGCAATATTGTTTTGTTTCTGGCTTAACTCATTTAGCACAATGTTTAAAGATTAATTCATGTTGTAGCATGTATCTGAACATTCTTTTTTATTTTCATGTATGTTGTGGCCATAGATATATGTGTTTATTTTTAGACGTTCAGTTCTGTTGCATTCAGCTGTTGTCTATTGGCCTAATACTTGTAAGCTGATTTATATTAATGTATTTACAATATGAAAATTATTGAGAATGCTAAGTGACAAAGCTACTAAAAATAATGTTAATAAAAATATAGCCTAAGACAGAATTTATATTAAAATTTGAAAAAAAACACACCCAACTTCTTTTTTAACCGATTGACATGATGAGGCTCAAATATAGTTCCAGAAGTTTCAAATTATATATATATAATTTGACCTTTTCTGAAAAGGCTTTATACATGACAGTTACTTTTTTAAACTAAAAATAAATAAT